CGACGTTCTGTAAAGCAGAACGGGGGGAGCGCATGTACATGAACAGGAGTACATGTGCTGCATGTGTGTAACTTACGCATGCCCGGAGCTGTCTCGGACCGTAGTGGTGAGATGCTCAAGTACTCTGCACAAAGGTAATAGTTACACTCTCAGTTTTTAATTGCAGTGTACAATTAGTGACATTGCATTGTATCTGTTCTTTCGTGTTTCTTCCTTGGTCTCTGTAGATTGGATTCTTAGTAGCAGCCTCTTGAAAAAGGTGCCAGGGTTTTTGCCAGACCGCACGTTAAGCGCCCCACTTGTGTGCAAACCCAGGGTGAGCACTAACGTTCGTGTTCCGACATACTGTCACCAAAGCATCCATGCCCAAACCATAATAACGCCATTCGAAAGGTTGGGTTTCGGAGGCTTGTTCAATGGCCGTTTTCGGTACAAGGAGAATCACGGAACTGAGCAAAGTCGTTGACCGCCTCAAGGATTTTGGGCCTTCCTCACACCCATTATGCTGAAATCTTCAACAAACACAATCTTTCGCAGGTTTGGGCCTCCAGACTACCTCCAAAGCCCAGGGCACACCAGTAGACGTGCTACCTTGTCTTAATAGTAGTATTTATTCTTACAATAACAGTAGCACTGGTGGCGGTGGTGGTGGTCGGCTGCGGCGGTGGTGGTGGCGGCCAACGGGAGGCGCTCAAACCATAAGGAAAAGCCGACTTTCAGAGCTCACTGGGGTGGCTCGCCCGCCCACCGCCATCCTTGACCACGAGAAAAGGGATACGGCCAACGACGAAATTCCAAGATGTTGCTGTAGAATCTATGATGAGCATGCAAATGGGTTCGGGCAAGCAACACGTTGCTCGCATCTTTTCGCGGTTCGCTTGCCGTTCCCTTGTCCAATCAATCTGGAAGAGCCGCAGCTGCACAATTACAAGAAGGCCTAGTCCGACGGCTCGTCATTTTGGAGCTCTCGCAGCCCAAAACCTGAAAGATGAGGAGCCGAAGCTGCACATTCAAAAAACGGCTCCTCATTTCGGCACAAATGCACACTCATAAAAAGGCCATCCAAGCCCAACGGCTCTTCATTTCGGAGGTTTCGCAACCCAACACCTCCAAGATGAGGAGCTGCAGCTGCACACGCATACAAAGCCCACCCCAGCCAAACAGCTCCTCATGTCGGAGGTTGCGCCGCAGCTGCACACGCATACAAAGGCCACCCGCGCCCAACGACTCCTCATTTCGGAGGTTTCGCAATCCAAAACCTCCAATATCAGCAGGGGCGCAGCTTCGCAGCCCGAAGCCTCCAAAATGAGGAGCCGCAGTTGCACGCTCATCCAAACGCCACCCGAGCCCAATGGCTCCTCATCTCAGGGTGTCGCAGCCCGAAACCTCCAAAATGAGGAGCCGCAGTTGCACGCTCATCTAAACGCCACCCGAGCCCAATTGCTCCTCATCTCAGGGTGTCGCAGCCCGAAACCTCTAAAATGAGGAGCCGCAGTTGCACGCTCATCTGAACGCCACCCGAGCCCAATGGCTCCTCATCTCAGGGTGTCGCAGCCCAAAACCTCCAAAATGAGGAGCCGCAGTTGCACGCTCATCTAAACGCCACCCGAGCCCAACGGTTCTTCGAAACCTTCAAAATGAGGAGCCGCAGCTGCACACTCATAAGAATGGGGATGCCAGAAGGTGATCGAGACCAGGAGGCACAGTCCCCACTGTGCCACCAGCTGCTGCGCTGCCAGGCGCACAAAGCTCACAAAGCTCAGCAAGCACACTTGTGATTACATGTTTGTATCATGACTACATGTCTGCTTTTGATTGACGATTTTTGCTCACTTGTTGATTTACATTTCTAACTGTAGCTTGCTTCTTGTTTCGGTAGTCATAATGATAGTTGCAGCAGTAGTAGTAGTAGTAGTAGTAGTAGTAGCAGCAGCAGCAGCAGCAGTAGCAGTAGTAGAAGTAATGGTAATCACATTTTGATGGTAGTAACTGCTGCTGCTGCTATTACTACTACTACTACTACTACTACCACCACCACCACTAAGCACTCAGCGCATCCACATGCTCGCACTGCATCAAAACTGTGCGTTCCAGGATTCCAAAATTTTCCTTTGATTTGCAATTTGATTTTAAAACGCATTCATATGAAGAAAAACCACATCCACAACCAGAATTTCAGGATTCCAAGATTCTCTTTCAATTTCTTAGTTTGTGAAAGGAAACCAGCTCCAAACCCAGAATTTCAGGACTCCAAAATTTTCCATTGAGTTTAAATACACTTGTTAAAAACCAGAATTCCAGGATTCCAAAAATCTCCTTTCTAAACCACATGTTAAGAGGAATTTGCATACAGAAATGCCTCCAACAAGAAAAACCATATGAATTTCGTTTTTGATTTTTTAAAAGCCTTCATAAAAAATAACACCACTTCAAAAACCAGAATTCCTTGATTGTCTGGGCTTCTAATAGAATTTGGAAATCAACTTATAACAGGAAACCAGCTCCAAAACCCAAAGTTCCAGGATTCCCAAATTTTCCTTTAATTTGTATTTTGATTTTACAGGCATTTATATACAGGAAAACCACTTCCAAAACCAGAATTTCAGGATTCCAAGATTTTCTTTTACTTTCTAATTAGGTTTTGGAAGCTAGTTTATGAAGGAAAACCAACTCCACAACCAGAATTCCAGTAGTCGAACATTTTCCTTTGAGTTTAAAATAAGTCCTTCAAGAAAAACCACTTGCAAACAAAAAGCTTGAATTTCTAAATCGATTTCTAAAGGAGCTTATAAAGGAACACCACACGCAAAACTAGAAGAAGTCCAGGGTTCGAAGATCTCCCTTTGATTCTAAGTAGGTTTCAAAAGGATTTTATATACAGGAAAACCACCTCCAACAAAAGCTTTCCCTTTAATTTCGAGTTCGATTTCCCAGTGCATTCAACTAAAGGAACACCATGTCCAAAACCAGAATTCCAGGACGGAGTTGTTTGGAAAAGTAATATTTCAATCGACTCAATCTTTGGGAGGTCTTGAGAGGATAGCCTCAAAATCAAAAGATTGACGCCTCTCAGCACTTTGGGACTCTGGGGGCTGCAAAACAC